CACCCAGAACTGGACGCAGTACTCCAGCTGCAGCCTGACCAGTGCCGCACAGAGGGGGAGTATCACCTCCTTGGACCTGCTTGAGATGCACTTGTGGATGCATGACAAAGTGTGGTTGGCCTTCCTGACTGCATCCCCACAATGCCTGCTCATGTTCATCTTGGCATCAATGACGACTCCAAGATCCTTTTCTGCCTCTGCACTGACAAGAAGGGAGTTCCCCAGCCTGTAGGTATGGTGCTTTGTTGTTCCCTCAGGTGTTAGTTCACTAGGGGAGGGCCTTGCTATTTGGGATAAGGTATATAGTGGCCAGGGCTCTACAGGGGCTTCTTCCTCTACTTTATAGCTGCCCCTCACCTCACAGTGTCTCTGGGTCCATTGCTTGGGCTCTGGAACCCCAGCCTTCCCTTTGGTCACTGGTCGATCATGGAGCCTCCAACAGGGGATCTCAGTCTGTCAGAGGCTCCACGATCAGGAGCAGCAGGGCACACACGGCTGGGATAAGCCACGTCCCCTGCCACCAAGGCTGGGCTAGGTGAGTGGGGTCAGAGCCCAGGAGGCAGGGCCCTTTACTAACAAAAAGTGATCCTCTCCATAAAAAGGTTGGAGACCACTGCTTTAGGCTCACTTGTCCGTAGCCAGGTTCCTCCTAGCCCAGGCCTTTCCTTTGGCATCTTTGCAGTCCTTCTGCTGGGTTTCCTAATTCCTGGCCTTTTTCCAGGCCAACTCAATCCTAGCTGGTTTTCTCCCAGCATTAGCCCTTCCTCAGGCCTGCTCGGTCTCCTGTCCCTTTGCATTCCTAGTCAAGCCGCCTTTAGTAGAAGCCGTGCTCCATTTCACTGCTGAAGCCCATCTGCCTTTTCTCTGCCATCTCCTTTTATCTCTCTGCCAAGGCAGGGCCTTCCAGCCAGAATTGTTCCTCATAAAAGGCTTTCACCTTCTTTGTGATGAGGGATAAAGCGAGCTCCATTACAGTTCTCCAGCCCGGTTTGCCAGTGCCCCTCAATGACATCCTAGTGCTGTACACTTGGCCATCTCCTTGCTAGGGACTCATTCATTTAACTTAAATTGTAAGCTCTTTGGAGTAGGGACTGTCTTCTGCAATTACACCATACCTAGCACTAAGGGAGCTAGGTCAAGGACTGGGTCTCTGGCTCCCATAATCCATCTGCCTATCCCGTGTAACCCATCCTACATTTCAGCTAAAATCTGAGCTGGCTCCTGGGAAAGGCCAGCTTGTTGCAGTACTGCCTAAACAGCTCTGTAGATAGGGGAAATAGCACTCTATACCCACTAACACTGAAGGACTTTGGGGCCTGATGCTTTGTTTTAGGTCAGTCTTTTTGCAAGACCCACCCAAGATATGGTAACTCTGGGTCAATCCTAGCTCCTGGATGTGGAAGAAATTCCCAGCATTGGGCAGTGACCATGGAGATGAGCTCAGGCAGGTTCTAATCCCATGGTTCTCTCTAGCTTATTCCACAGACCCAGCTGTGGATTCACTCCTCTCCCCAGACCAGCAGCAAAGATGGTGTGACAGACCACAACAAAGATTACACAGGGTGAGTAAAGAGTGGCACCATGCCAAAGCAAGGAGCTGGGAACTTGGTTTCAAAAGAGACCTTCCATACTACATATCTGCTCTCTCATCCCTGCTTCTGCTGCTTCTACAGAAATCCTGCTGGTGCACACAGACCTCCAAGCAGCCAAGCTGGCAATGACAGCCTGGTGTCCCGCCGGCCTCCAAGCAGCCAAACAAGCAAGGCACGCCAGAGACCACCAAGCAGCCAACAGACAAAACCATCCTCCCTAGAGACCACATGCAAGGAACTGTCCTGCCTCTCTCTGCTACCTGACAACTTTCTCCTCAATAACAATGTCAAACCCAAAGGGCAAGACAGCGTAGCTGGAGTCCAGGCCCTCCCATCACGCAGTACTAGAAACCACCAGAAATAGAAGGCCAGCAGAGTAATTCTGTCAGGAAGTAGTATTCAACCAGTGCCACTAATACTGTCACATTTACCACTCAGGATCCCCATAAGTAGCAAGCTAGTGTTGGAGGCAGTCAGCCAGCACAGGAGATGGAGCATCTGATATCATCCCCCACTGGCAGCTCTACTAGAGCCATCTGGCTCTCTTAGGACAGGTGATTCATGGGGGAGGGACAGATGGAAGTGGGAGAGACATTGAGGATCCTGTTCCAATTCAGCATTAGAATGAGCAAGGTTGATGCTCCTATCACCAGGGTTTGCTTATCTGTTAGGAGAGACCAGAGTTCAACATGCTGTGGACAAGGTCCTGAACAAATAGAATTCTTATAGAAAGCTCTGTGCCTTTTCCGTACACAGAGGTTAAAATGCTTACAGCAGTGAAAAAGGCTCTATTCCCGTAGCCCCAGTTTTATGGGTACAAGAGGGGCCTTTCCTTCTTAGGAGCTAGAGAAAACATCAGCACAGTGCACAGCAAGAGGTGGAGAGCTGTTTTAGGGTGGGGAAAAGCATGGTCAGGCTTAGGTACAGCAGGATATCCAGGTGGTCTGGGCTGCTATTCACAGAAGAAATGAAGGGTTTCATGCCAGGGTTTGATCAGTAGGACATGGAAAAAGGTGATCCAATCATATGCCTGGAAAGTAGGAACTCTCAC